AGAGAGAGAGAGAGAGAGAGAGAGAGAGAGAGAGAGAGAGAGAGAGAATGCTTGTGAGGTTTGAGAATGACCTTAGCATATTTATTGGAGGAAGATCTGTTGATTTTGAGAAATATATAGGATACTGTCAAGTGGGGAAACAAGACACAGAGGAATCTGAACTGAATCTCTCTACTCAGTACACTGATGTCTCCAATTCCCTAAGGGGGTATACTTTTCATTTCTTATTTTTCAATGTTCAGTCCCTGATTTAGCCCATAATGCTCTAATTCTGTATTGATCTCACATGCTACAATATAGATGTGTCAGGCCAGATGTGCCTAGTAATGAAAAAATGGCACAATTGTTATAGGGTAACATAAGTGATGTCTGATTGGATTTTCATGCTTTGTCTTTGGGAGGGAATTCATGCCTGGTATTATAAACCTGGCCAGAAACCCTTGGCTGGAGATGTCATAGAGCTAACTATGGTTCCTACTCTCATTTTACTAAATTGTCATATTGTCAAACTACCTGTTAAAGATTTATTTTTATACCCATGTATTTGTGCTGTTCTTTTCCTTTCTTAGAGATTATTTTTTGGAGCTGGCATTAGTTAATGCAGAGACTCATAAGTGATCAAAATGTGAAGCATAATTGTGAGGGCTCAGTCATTGGTGTGGTTTCTAATGTTCCCTACTCAAGGATCAGGAAATATTTTGAAAGAGGAAGTAGAAAGTAAAAGGTAGATAATGGAATGGAGTGCTTTGAAACTGTCCTCTGTGAATATTGTCCTCTGAACATGAGTTGACTGTTATGCAAATTTACTCATATCATCAATGTTTGCCTATAGAAAAAATGCATAACATAAAGCCTATTATTATTACAGGATGGATGAGGGAGGGTGTCCTGAAGCCCCAGCTCTGATTGAAGATCTATTTGCAGTTGATGACTGCTAGATGAGAAAGACTCCTACAACTTTTGGGTATAGGAATTTTGTTAGGTATTTCATGCTCATATCGATTGCCCTACATTTGTGCACTTATGAGCACCACAAATTAGCCTCAGTGGGTTGTATTTTTTTGAAAATATTAAGATGTGGTGTGGACATATTGGGGAATGTATAGTGTGTTGGAGTACATACTGTCAAATCTAGCAGCAGGATATGATACACTATATTCACTTTTAAATTTTCAAAGAATAAATATATTATTTAAAAACACAACAATTATGAAAAATAAATCAAGAACAAACAAATGACATAGCAAGATCTAAGGCTTTTCTTACTGAAATCATAAAAACAAATAATTCAGGAAGAGGGTGCAAATATTTGATGCTAAATCACTACTTCTGAAGGACATCAATTCCAATATCTAAGACCTATTTATTCTAAGAATGTCTTATTAAAAAAAACACTTCAGATACAAAATCATAATGACTTTTTATTATACTTCAGTTCATTTCTCACCCAGAATCAGAAAAGTTTATTCATGAACAGTGATAAATTCAGAGACTCACAGCTCTTAAATGTATAGACAATAAGAGACATTTTAGGGGTTGAACAGTAAATGGGGCTTCTATATTAAATCTTTTTCTCCAAGCTTCAGGGATCATTTCTGATGGGGATGGTACGTATTGTAGAGGCAGAAGTGTTTGATGACATTACTAAAACAGTGTTTTCTGGACATTTCATGGCAGTTGGACATATGAACTCAGCAGTTGTGACATTAAGTGCCATATCTGTCCTAGTTTAAGCCAGAATGAGTCCCAACATGGAGCAAGAGTTTGCACATGATGTGCCACCTTTGAGGAATTACTAGTGATTGACAGCTTCCTGAAGAGAGTCAGTTTACTTTATGAGCATTTATCCAACTTCACTGGATAGTCATACACCCAAAAATGTATAGGCAGTATTAACTGGAATGAGTGGTTTTAAAAAGTGATAGGACTGGAGAGATAGCTCAGTAATTAAGAGCACTTGCTGCTTCCACGGAAGATCTTGGTTCACTTCCCAGTACCAACGCGGTGACTCATGATCTTCTTTAATTACAGTTGCAGAAGAATTTTTGATGTGTTTCTGACCACTGTGAGTAATGCATGCATTGTGGTTCACAGGTATACATACAGATTAAAAATCATGTAGACATAAGATGAAAATAAATCTTAAAAAATGATTATACAAAGTTGGATGCATATGGAATGAGATGAGTATAGGAGAGGAATCAGGAAAGTGAATGAATATGATAAAAAAATACAAAGTATGGAATTATCAAAGAAATAAAAGTTATATTTAAAGACATTTCATACAAATACAGATCATAGAAACACTGAGTGAACTCAAAGGACATTAGTCTTTTAACCAGTTATAAGAAAGATCGACGAAAAGAATGCTTCATTTTATAATTATATACATGGAGATTTGGAGAAAGTGGAAAGTCCTGTAAAGTTGAAGTTAATGAAATCATTTATAATACTTTACTCCATGTTTTATTTTTGTATATGCCTGTGTATTGTTATGTGAGATTGCAAGAATGTATGGGTATACTTGGAAAGGAATAAAGAGGGTATCAGTTACTCAGTAACTGGAGTTATAGAAAGTTGTGACCCACTCAGGGTGTGAGTGCTGGGGAACAGTCCTTACTCCTCCAAAAAATAGCAAGTGCTATTGACCACTGAGCTATCTCTCCACCCTCTAATGGTATTATTCTCAATGTATATAAGATGTAAGACAGATATAAGAGCAACTTTGCTGAACAAAGTAGAAATTAGCACAAATACAAAATTGTAAATGAAATAAACAGATTTACAAAAGGGAATAGTGGAATTGTTTAAAGGCTCAGTGTATAAAAGTCCTTATCATATAAGCCTTATGATCAGATCTCAGTCTCTGTAACCTGCATAAATTACAAGGAAATGATTGACACCACGAAGTGGTTCTCAGCTCCTCACTAACGTTCTGTGACATGTGTTTATCCACACACACACACTATGCACACATATACCACAGATAATAAGGAAAATATCTTTATCTTTAATAAGAAGACAACTGAACACAATACATAAATACCTGGGAAGACAGTCATGTAGATAATATTGTCCTTGCATACATCATTTAAATATTGTCCTGATTGTTAATTGATGATGTAGAAGGATGATGTACATTTTGCATAGTACTGTTCCTTACTCAGGGGGATCCTGAGAAGTATAATGGAGGAAAAATCTAGGTGAAGCCAAAAAAGCAGTAGCCTACATACTTATTCTCTCCCTTCTCATGCCTGTGTAAACTAAGAAAGTCCTTTGAAATCAGTAAGAGAGAATTGCTGAGCTAAATATAAAGGAAGGGCTCTCAGAATAACAGACACATCAACAATTTTTGTTTAGAAATTTGCAAAATGAATTAATGGCCACCAAGTCTGTTCTACAAAATAGAACTGAGAAAAAACATTATCTGTAAAACCACAAAAGCATGAGTTAGTTTTAGCAGCCAACTTGATACATCCCAATATCACATTAGAGTCTCAATTAAGAGATTATCCCCATCAGATTTGCCTGTGACTGTGTATTTGATTGATTGTCTTAATTGATCATTCAGGTGGTAGCGGCCAAAGTATAAACATGTGTATCTGCTCTGTATGAGAAAACTATCTGTGAGACCGTGATTAAATTACTAAGCTTATTTGTAATCTGGTTTCACTTCAGTTCTTTCTTGAGATACTGCCCTGACTTTTCCTGCAGGTAGATTGTTGACCTGAAAGTGTATGTCATATAAGTACTTCCTGCTCCTAAGTTGCTTCTGGTAAGAGTATTTTATCAGACAAATCATTAACCAAACTAGACCAATAATTAAAGAAGAAATAAAAATACAGCTTGTGTAACTTGGCAAAAATCATCAAAGTAACTGAAATTAATAGATGCCTTTCAATGTTAACGGAATATTAATGTCAATTCTTTTTCAAAAGACACTGGCTAGGAAATTGCATCAAAAAGTAAGAGTATATGTTTGTTGTATGTTATCATTAAAGATAGGTGGGACCTTATAATGACATGATCAAAGAAAATGTTTAAGGCAAATGGAAACTAGAATGCAAGCAAATGTTTCTGATTTAATATGATCAAACAGTATTGAACAAAATTTGTGGAAAAATGATAAACATTGCTTTGTATTGATTAAAGGAATAATGCATGGAGATTGCAGTGCAATGCTAATCACTGGTCCACCTAGTTACACACAGAAAATACTAGTAGACATAAAGTCACAAACAGCAGTCTCACTTTGAACAGTTGACACATCATTTCATTAAAAATCAAAAAAAGTTATATGATGTCTCAGATAAAACTGGCTTGACAGACATCTATAGAACACTAAATATAAACACTGCAGAATATACATTGTTCTCAGAAGCCTATGAAACTATCACTCAAGTAGATAGATATTAGTTCAAAATGGAAGTCTTGACCAATATTCGTTGAAATAATTTCTTATATTCTACTTGACAATAGTTAAGTGACTACAAATAAATGAAAAGAGAAACTCCAGAATGCCAACAAACTTATGGAGATTTAACAAATCACAGCTGAATTACGAAGAAGTCAAGAACAAAAAGACCCCTACAATCAAATGAAGATAAAAACAAAACATTCTCTAGCCTGTGGAATAAGTTGAAATCAGCCCTGAGAGGAACATTCAAAGTTCAAAGTACCTATATTAAGAAATCAAAGAGATTTCTAATACTTTTATCAATGTTTCACCTTGGGAATTTGGAAAAAGAGCAAAGCAAACCCCACGTTTTGTAGCTGGAAAGATTTCAGTGACATCGGTGTAGAAATTAGAGAAAAGGGGAACAATGGTAACAAGAAAAGAAATATAGAGAGGTGTTGGAACAGAGTTCTTTTCTTCAAAATATAAATATTGATCAAATCTTATCTAAACTAACAAAAGAAAATAGCAAATGTCAAATCTAAT